TATAAATTTATATTTTTTAAAATTAAATAAAAAATAATATTATAATTATATAAAAATTATAATATATTAATAATAATAATTTTAAAAAAAAAACTCGAATAATAATATATTAAACTTTTCCAAGTTATCGAATATATTAATCGTTTTATTTATAAATTTAATTTTTTTAATTATTAAAAAATATACGATATAATTTTTATTAATTATTTAAAACCCGTACTTTTTATAAATATTTTTAATTATAATTTATTATATTTTAAATAAATAATATTTAAAACTTATTAATGAAAAATTATTAATTATAATTTAATATAATAACGTTATTTTATTAAATATAAAAAATTAAATAATAAATATATTAAATAAATTAAAGAAAAAAATTTAAATAATAATAAAAATAAAATAATTATAAATTTTAATATAAAAAAAAATTAATCATAATAATTATATTAAACTTATAAAAGTATAAGCTTTTTATAAATAATATTATCACATAACGTTATACCTTAATACATATACCTTAATATATTATTAACATTAAACAACACTTCATTAAATCCTAAACACTCTTAAAACCTAAAAAAAGCATCATCAATCCACATATACCACACTATATAATAATATGTTCCCGCTGGTTCCTGCGCCGAACACCACGATGTTGGTCCAATTAGGTGAAACGGCTTAGGGATTGCTGGTACCTGAAGACCCCACCACGGCAGCCGCTAGCACATTTCGGGTGGTAGTTGGCCCAATAGCGTACCTTTGTTTAGGTACAGAGATACCTAACCTAACCAGCTCTAACCCAAAACTCCAGCAAGATCATGTGGAAGTATGTTAATATCGGTTTCTCTTTTTGCTTAGGGATCGCTGAAGGGAGCGACGAGTCTCAGTCCCCTATTTTCTATCTTCACAAGGTCTCAGTTTTGACTTTTGAGTTCGCGTACATTGCACGCTTCGGACAATTGGGTTTCTGATTGACTTTCCCCAAGTTTCGTCCACCAGTTCCAATACATTGGACCCTTGACGTCTTAATCAGGCCAATCCCTCTTTTAGTCCCTTTTTGTCATTATTTTTCCTCCTTCCCTTGTTCTAGCGCTCATTTTATCGTCAAAAATCTTCCCGCGAGCGGTGCTCCAAACACATTCTCACGCCTTTAACGACCCTTTTTTAATACGTTAATACTTTGAAATTCCTACTAGTAATTACAGATGTATTTCTCCGATTTGTCCTAATTCATCGTCGCGAATTTTGGTTCGCCGACACCAATCGACTGTTTTAATCGAGATTCACGAGGATCGTCAATTGCGACACGAACAAGAACCAACAACCGATACTCCACGAGCGCGGACGAATCAGGCGTTGGTTCTTTCGGGACCTTGCGCAATTGTCAAGAGTATTGACGGGAGCCAATTACGTGACAGCGTCCATTGTCGAATGAGGACAAGGGAGAGGATAGGGTCAGAACGGATACTGATGATTAACTTGTGCTGCGTATGGCAGCCCCCGTTTCTGCCGTTGCCCAACCTTGCCCTGTTCAACGTCGCTCGAATCTGACCGACTTGATCAACCCGACCAAAATCTAGACCGAGTGATGCATTCCTCCGAGAATAGTCGACGGTCACAGGCCCAGCGTTGGCGACCCGATTTAAACATCAACACATCCAATGCCGCAAACAGGGGTCGCGATTCTCTACCTGCAATGCCCTCCACACCCCCGACGAGGACGAAAACAAAACCGCCTGTATCCGGTCGAGCATCATACCGAGTGCCTCCTTCAACATCGACAACAGCCTCGCGCGATTCCGAGGAGTCTTTCCTGGATAATGGTTCTGACGAAATCAGAGGGAACGAGCCTGACCTACCTAATCTGCCCAGGGGGAGAAATGCGAGAGACTCCCACGATCTATCCTTTCCCTCCCGCCAATTCACCCGAGACTCTCTCGTTACCAATATGCTGTCATCTCTCGATCAATTCTCTCTGGGTCAAATCCATACGCCTACAACCAACCTGTTCGACGACGATCCCCTCGGCCTACCAAGACGAGACGACTATTCGAAGTCTATGACGAGCACTACTCGCCCGGGACGCATGTGGAGCAACAGTCTTAGCCACGGTCACGGATATTCTTACAGTTCTGACTTCGACGGTACTGATGACGGAGCGAGCCGGGCGTCAGACCAATATTCCAGGGGACGACGCAGTAATAGCAGCTCGGGGTTCCAATCAAGCCTAGGCCGGATCAACAGCTTACGAGAGCGGAGTCACCCTGGTACATCCGGAGGGCGAGTGCTACATTCGAGAGGAGGCAAGACTAGCAAGAGCAGCAGTACTAATAGTATCGATGCCGGCTACGCGCAAGTTCTTACCACGCAACGATGGGCCCATGGTATTGGTGGTAGGTCGTCAAGTTTTGACTATGGACAAAGGCCCTCTCTCAGTTCTCCTAATGCTTGGAAGACTGAATTTTCTAACACGTTTCTCGTTGATGATTACGAAGCAGCTCCAACACCAACTATTCCTGTTGGACCTCGCCGTCCGAATATGCCTTCTAGTCCTGCCGCCCCACCGCCGATTCCTCCTCCAGAACCCGAATCGAAGACTCCTGATCGCAAGAATTCTGCTAGGTCGAGAAGCGGTACCGCGCGGACGACCCAGTCTAAGTACGCTCCGTCGTCGCGTGAGCCGCCTCCGCCGATGCCCTCAACCGAAATGGATTCTGCTCCCGCGCCGCATATCGGGTACGAGAAATCGAAAGAGGTCTTGCATGGAACTCAGGGCCAACCGCCACAGACAAAACCGGGTTTCTTCAGTAGAATATTCGGCTACAGGAATACTACTCCAACATCAGATGCTAAACCAACGCCGGTTGCATCGACTTCCGCAGATGCTGCTGAGCAAAGTGGAAACAGATTGCAAAATGTGGCGTCGCAGACTAAGGCCCAGTCCACTCCTCCGTCCAGGGATTCCCAATTTAGAGAATCCCAACGTTCAGCATCACAACCTCACGTGGTTCAGAAAAAGTCCTCATTCTTCAGGAGGAGAAAGAAGTCTGTGACTGAGCCACCAATGCCGCCTCCTCCGATCCCTCTTCCAAGAGAAGTGACCCAACTCAAGGAGCAATCAGCGCCTCAACGAGAGTCTAGTCCCGTCAGCAGCTTGCGTGAAATCATGAGTCCATACCTGCAAGGCATTACGACAAATATTCCCAGCGGCGGCCTCTTATCGCCAACGCAGGAGAATGCGCGTGCACGCGGTTATGAGTCTCAGGACGAGGACAGTTCTCGCAAGGTTCGAGGCTTTTCCCCAGATTATGAGCCGAGTCCGAATGCTACGATCCGAACCGTGAAATCCACGTCGGCCTTAAGGAATCAGGAATCTGCTCGAAGACGATCTCAGATGGACAGTTCGAGCAGGGACTTACCCGAGTTGCCTACCAAGAAGTTTATTGAGACTCGTGACACGACATTCTTCCACGATAGCAGCGACGAAGGAGAAAACCCGCGGGCCACTGGAAAGCAAAAGCAAAAGCCACCGCGAAGTAACAAATCTTCCCCGATGGTCAACGATTCCAGGGACAGGTTCGAGAGTATCCAGGAGCGTCCGGTAACTGGGATTGATAATGAGGAGTTGTCCAAGCGTGAACCATCACCGAAACTAGTACTCCAACATCACTCTACGTTTGAAGGGGGACGTCCTAAACCCGTCGAAGGCCGTGACGGACCTAGAAGGATGTCGACCTTTCCTAGTTCTCTCAACAAGTCCGACAATGGCTTGCCTAGCGTGAAGGTGGATAGCGCAGAAGGTAGCCCCAAGGTCGTCGGTTCTCCTCTAGATGAGCCTGAAGTCTCCGTGGGCGAGCCAACTGAAGATGATCGCCAAAAGGCTCAAAAGATCTTCGATGGAAATGAAGATTTCATTCAAAAAGAGAAGGCAGCTTCGTGGATGGGCGAGGAAGGGCTTGTAAGGCAACGAACATTGAGGGCGTACATGGAGCTTTACGATTTCACGGACCAGAGCGTTCTCACTGCCTTGCGACAGATATGCAGTCGTCTCATCCTGCGCGCAGAGACGCAGCAAGTTGACCGGATCTTGGTCGCATTCTCTACACGGTGGTGTGATTGTAACCCGAACCACGGCTTCAAGACCATGGGTAAGTAACCTGAATTATAGGATGATATATCATCGCTAACAAGTGGTAGATGTCATTCATACAATGTGCTACTCGATCATGCTCCTGAATACAGATCTCCATCTTGCAGACATCGACCAGAAGATGACAAAAAGCCAATTCGTCAAGAACACCATGACAACTATCAAGCATGCGCTGGTTGATTCTGCTCCTGAAGCTTTCGATCGTGCCAGTGTCTTGCCTGGGAAAAACAGCCTACTCAGTCCTTCTGAGTCAGAAACGGTTATGTCTTATGAACCAGAGCCGGAGATGAAACTCAGCTGGAGGACGTCATTCAAACCGATACCGTTACCACTACCGCGATCAGACTCATCGATGGGTAATTACTCGGATGGTCCGGTGGACACCTGTGGTCCGCTTGTGAAAACACCTTTTGAAGGCACTATGAAGGCCTGGATGCAGCAGATGGAACAAGTATTGAAGGAAATCTACTCCTCAATCCGTGATGAGAAGCTTCCTCTCTTTGGTGCTGAGCCAAGTCAGCCGCCGAGTCAGACACAAAGTACGCTCTCAGTCATGGGGGTGCTTAAGCGCAGTCCTAGTGTCTTATCGAAGGCACCCTCTGAAGGCCAAATTCCCGCCCGTGGCAGAATCAACGAACCAGTTCGTCCTCCTCCTGGAAGTAGATGGAATTCGAAGAGTCGATCGAGACCAAGATTTCCTGGCAATGGGATGTCCTCGAGTCGTACTAGCTTCGACGATGGTAATTCGGTATGGAGTCCCACTACCTCGTCTGCCACGTGGAGTCGTTACTCGTTGGGTAGGACCCAAACTTCGATGTCGGTGGACTCTTTCGGCTCATACCCTCACGGCGACTACCAGCAGTCTATCGGTTTCGCCAATGCGTTGAGCCAAGCAATAATCCGTGAAGACGTGCCTCCTGGTACCAGTGGGCAGTCCATCATGAGCGACGACTTTCAGGCTAACCAACTACTCGAAGATGAAACCCTGGAGCTCGCAGGTCCGCCTTGGGTCAAGGAAGGCATCGTCATCCATAAGCATCATCTTGATGGCATAGATAAGAAGGCCAAAGATCGTAACTGGACCGAGGTATTTGCTGTTGTTCAGAAGGGAACCATGAGCCTCTTCTCATTCTCGAGCAAATCGATGCGCCAGAAGTCCCGCGGTGGACGTAAGCCTCCCCCAGGTGCCGTCGTTGGTGGCGGAAATTGGCAGGAAAATGCTACTAGCGTCGGGACTTTCTCGCTACGACAGACCCTCGCTTCCGCCCTCCCTGCGCCTGGTTATTCTCGAAGTCGTCCGCATGTTTGGGCTCTCAGTCTGCCCACCGGTGCCGTGCACCTCTTCCAAGTGGGAACCCCTGATATAAGCAATGAGTTCGTGCTTGCCGTCAATTACTGGAGTGCTCGATTGAGCACGCACCCGCTCGTTGGCGGGGTTAGCAATATAGAATATGGCTGGAGCGACGCTATCATTAATAATGCTCTGGTCACAGCCATCAACGACCCTCCTCCACCTCCACGCCCAGGCAGTGCCGCAGCAGGCCGCTCGAGTATGCATAGCCGTCAAGGTAGTCTGCAAAGCAGCATTCGCTCGTCTTTCGAGGTCGGCGGCAGCTCACGAACCAAACTACCGGGCGATCGAATTCATATTGCAGAATGGACGCCGCCAGCGCAGTCGCTGCGGCCCAGCAACGCGTCCGAGGCCGAGCAACTGGAGACGCTTGAAGCCTACGTCAAGTCTATAGAGGAAGACTTGAAGAAGCACAACCAGCTCCGGTCACCGATGCTCCTAGCATTCACCCCTCGCGGTCATAACTCGACAAAGGCTATGGCGAACTGGGAGCGGAAGTCTAGTTACCTACTGCGCGAGAACGTCAAGTTTAGTACATATGTCGACTGCCTGCAGATTGCTAAGACCAAGAGGGCTGAGATCTACGCCGAGCGTGAAAACGCCAGGCGCGCGGCGCGAGGTGAAGACCTAGATGAAGATGAGGGCGAGCACGATGCGGAGGCGGATGTGACGATCCAGGTCGACGAGGAATGAAAACTTTATTATCCGTATCAAGAATACGAGGGGCAGGCCACAGCCTCACTTTTCGTCATTATTAATTCCTTTAGTATTTAGATAGACGGACTTCGACACCGACGAGTCGAGGTCGCATGTCATTAGTGGCACGGACGGGTGGGTTTACTTTGTTTTATTTTGTTTTTAACCTACAGTATATGCGAATATCCGGGGTATAAGCTCGATACCCATAGCCCGGCGTACCCTCGGCTCTGTCTATTCATACCGGTGTAGATATCGCGCTTATGAGTTTCGCAGCTAGGTAGCTTAGCTATTTCGGGGCACTTGCTCCTTGTGAATATTGATTGATTGAACGATTAAATGCGGATTCGACATTGTGAAGACGATGCTCTAGTTCATTAACAAGAAATAATCAGATTAATCAATCCAGCGTATCAACTGTCACACGGCAATTAGGCAATCCATCTATATAGGGATTAGCCCTTGATTACATCAACTGAGCTTGGGTATATCTAGCACTAGATTCTATAGGAGCAACGCTCCCCTTTACTTCATAGATCATCCCGCTCATTATACTAGAGATCCGGCACCCACAGACTGTGTGACATTAACAAATAACATGTTGCTTTCTAGTATATACTACGTACCTGGAGTAGACCAGGTCGGTATATATGGCAAAGTGTTTATAAGAGCTTACATTTGTGATTATACTAGAGCTGAGATGAATGTTCCCCCTTCTACGTCCTTACTGTAAACTACCTAGGTACCCAACGTTGTAAAAGCTCATCATACCTATCAAACAGCAGCGTCTGTTACTTGTCCCAAACCGTCTAAACAAATGTGAATAATTTAAAAAAGTTTCAAAACCTGTTACACCTCGAGTTAAGTACCTAGGGTAGGGAAAGTAATCAGAAAAGGGAGTTTTATGAATGCAAGCTGGTTCTACTTTCAACATGCTCAGCATTTCGGTGGGAGATGGGGGGGAAGGAGACGGGTCTCAACTGAACCATGTAAAACTACCTAGGTAGGTAGTCAGGCTAGTTCAGCTAGAGACGTTCAACTGCCTACCTATTTGTCAAACCACTCATAACCGCCTGGCCCTACTTACCCTCGCTGTTAAGAAAGTCGCGCACTTACGGATGCTGGAACCAGGTGCCTGAAGTCACGAAGAGGGACTACCACAGGTTCTGCCACCAGGTGAGAGGCTTGAGCGAGGTTCCATTTTGCGCTTGCTGCCGGGCGTGCGCCGCGCGCCCGTTGGGCTGGTTGTAGGGTACGTACTGCACGTCTTCCGCTTGGTAGGTGTACGTACTGCGGCTACTGGGCATGGCGGCCGAGCGCGTGGTGGTGGGGGTTTGCGCGACGTGGGCCGTGGCGGGGGGCAGGCTCGGGACGCTGGGAACGTTGGAGTTTCTGCTGCCGGGGTCGGTGCTGGCTCCCTCTCCGATAGCGCCGGGGGTCGGGCCGGGGAGGTGCTCGGACAGGTCTGGATACGGGGCATACGGGTTGGGTTTAACAATGAGGAAGTGGTTGAAGATGCCCTTCAGGAGGCTACAGACGAGAGCCGCGGCCAGCACGAACAAGGGTAAGACGAAGGGCCCGAGGGCGGGGTACTCGTCCGCAATGCGTCCTTGGAGGTACTCGAGGAAATTCAAGTAATGGAAGAACCTGTTAATGATTTCCATGGCTGCAGATTTTCTTTTCGGTGAGCTTTTGGGTAGAGCTTATCAAAATTCAAGACAGTTATTTATGAGTACTCAAGAACTATCTGTGTTAGTTTTGTGGGCAAGCAGACGGATCTCACGATTGGTGCAGGTTTGAGGCTGAGATTTCCAAAGGAGAGAGACTTGGAGATATTATATACTGATAGCTGTTAAACAACAGTGGGGACTTGTTGGAAGACAATCCCAATGTGAAGAAACACGACATCTTTGTTAGAGGCGATTCTCTTTTTATTGTACTTCGTCCAAAATGGGGATGGTCCGAGGAAACAAAGGGTTGTGAGAACTCCTTTGGAATCTACGTAGGTAGATATATGCAAATATCCATAGGTATAATATTCCTTACACATGGCTCGATGTGAATCGGTAAGTGCTTAGGGGGGCATTCACATCGTCATCAAAGATATACTACAGTCCTGTTTAGTCATAGATGCATTTTAAGGCTCAGGAACACTTCATTTAATTCAGCAATCTAGCACACACTATGTCCTCTATCCTTCATATACCTCTATAGAAGCCTACTCGAGAGGTAGGATAGTGTACGTAATGCAAGAGGCCAGTTATGAATGATAGATCTCCTTAAGCCGGTCTCCATTCAGTAGGACGCCCCAAGTTTACTTTGTTTCTGTTGCCGAGCTCTCTTTCGACGTTCCACGAGCATCTTCTCTATCTCCCGCGAAACTATGTCTTCCTTTATGGTACCCTCTATCAACACCGTAGACATGACGTTCTTCGCCAGCGTCTGTACGTCACGTGCGTTTCCCCAGAAAGGTAGCGAAGCCAGTTCCGCAAATAACTGATCGATCTTCTCCCATTGCGCCATCTGCAGTAGTTCGAATACCAACCGTGGCTTGATGGAATCGAAAAGCAGTCCATGACACTCGCGGGGAGTCAGGTTCTTGAAGTCGATAGTCTCTGGAAAACGGCTGTTGAGACCGGGGTTGGTTGCTAGTAACTTATTCATGTCCCATTCATAGCCTGCTAAGATGACGACGAGTTTGTTGTGGAACTTTTCTTGCGTCAGGATGTCGACTATCTCGCCTACTGCCTCTGAGGCGTAGGAGCTCTTATAGCCGGATACGAGTCGATAGGCTTCGTCGATGAATAGGACCTTGCCAAGTGCTTCCTCGAAGACCTTTCGCGTCTGAGGCCCAGTTTGACCTACGTACTGTCCAATCAGATCCGATACGGAACACTCGATTATCTCAGTCGTCGCGAGGAAACCGAGATCGTAAAATACCTTGCCCATCTTTCTGGCGGTTGTACTTTTACCGGTTCCCGGGGGACCGCGGAAGATGAAGTTGAAGGGGATAAAATCTTTAGGATCGCCGAGATCAATTGCCTTAGCGTTCCTCACAATCTTCTGGTAGCTTTCGAGTTTCTCTACGAGAGACTGACTACCAACCATACCACCGAATAAATTCTTAATATTGACCCCTGCGCGATCGATTCGGTCGAAATTCTCATCCATATCACTGGGCTCGAGTGTCTGTAACGATTCTTCACTAGGGCATCCAAGATCGGCAAGCCGCGCGTGCTGGCGTTCCTTCGCTTGGGTCAAAAGAATTTCGATCTCCCCCGCGTTTGCGAACACCGCGGAGTTTCGCGCGCGCTCTAGCACGTCCATGGCAACCTGCTTTGCGTCATCAGTAGCCTTCAAGCCCTCTTCGGCGAGTTTCAACTCGAGTATCTCGCGAAGCTCCTCCTTGGTATAGTCCTCGAACTCGAATGCCGACGACACCGGAAATCTGCGAGCTAGGCCTGGATTGGTGTTGCGAAACATCTCCTGCATCTGCTCGCGGTATCCTAGCAAGAGAACACAGCGGTCCTCGTTGTCAGCACCCTGAACCTCGCCGACAAGGGTATCAATCACGCCTGCTCTGTAGGTATCTACCTCCTCACGATGGCCGCTATTTCCCAGCATGTATGCTTCGTCAATGACAAGAACTTTGCCCCTCGCTTCTTGTAGAATCTTCTTCGTGCGGGTTTCTGACTCGCCTAGATAAGAGCCGATGAAATCAGCTGGTGTCTTTACGACGATCTCGGAGCTGGATAAGAAGCCTGCATCTGCAAATATCTTTGCGTAGAGTCTAGCAACGGTCGTCTTTCCCGTGCCTGGGTTGCCTAGAAATATTCGGTTGAGAGAAGTTTTGACTGGGGGTAGTTCTGCGAGCTCCCGATTGTAGTTCCATTGTAGTTGAAGTATCAACGACTTGACCGCGGTCTTCACGGATTTCAGGCCTACCATAGCCTCGAGCTTCTTCCAAGCTTCATGATGTTCTAAGGTTTGCGACGGAGGACGACCGAGTAAGTCTTCTTGAGTGAGGACACGAGTTTCGACATTCCCGCAAGTCTCGCTTTCCTCTAGTAGTCGAATGTATTGGCGCTTAATGATCCCGAGAATGACGTTCTCGATTAAACAAGCATTTCCAAACCCATGGGTTCCTCGATTCTTAGCCATCCGATTGACGAGGACTTTAGTTGGTACACCGTTAATAGCAAAACCTTCAAACGTAACAGTGCCATTGAACTTCTTAGACAGTTCTTTCACAAATAGGTGGTACAGCTCATATTCGGTAAAGTCCTGAAGGTGGATCGTCTGACGCGGGATGCTGTCGCGTCTTTTCTTGTCTTTAGTTATGTCTTGCAAGTCTTGGTTAGACCTGCAAACGAAGACCAAAACACTCCCCTGACCTTTCTCTATCCCATGATAGTAGTCGTACGTGTCACTGGAACTGGGGGAGCTGGTCCTGTTAGACCGAGGGCCTTGTCCAAAACGTGGTATGGGGGGCCCTCGAGGCGCGCGGCATACTTTGAAGTCGAGAAGGAATTGGACATAGTGATTGGCAATTGTCTTCTTGCCTATTCCCGGGTTTCCTTGAAACATGATGGTAAGCTCATCGGGTAAAGGAATCACCCCCTTCGTAGCGTTCGCGAGTGTAATCCTGAAAGCAATTTCCACGAGGCGAAGCTTCGCCTCTTCAAGGCCTAGCATTTGCATAATAGAGTCCAGGCCCCGACTCCCCACGTCATAAGTTCTCTTGATTCGTTCCCAGGTTTCCTCGGCCTTGGAATGTGGAACGGGGAATGGCGATGGTAGCAGAGTGATGTCTTCCGCATCCGCCTCGTCGGATAAGGTTGCTAACATGATCTCGGAATTGCATTCATCGTCGTCTGAAACCGAGGATTCCGTCTCTAGATGAGATTTGTCCGAGAGGGCCTTGGTAGGGCCGGGTATCTCATTGTCGGAAGACATGATCACTGCAAAACTCGTCAATTCCCAGAACGTCTCTAGATATATGAATGTAGGAGACGAAGAATATGATATAGCGGTTCTTAGCTCTTCTAAAAAATGTGGGATTCTTCTCTACTACAGAGGTCGATCTGCAGGTGGTATATGGGGTGTTCTGGCGTGAATAAATTCTGCTGACAGTCTATGATGTCTGGAAGGGGTTCTTTTGGCGAGGATATTTTTTTCATTGCTTATCAGTCAGTGTATATGAATTGCTGGGCACGTACCTGTAGGTGGATTTGGATGGGAGTGGTCGGTGTTTATACAAGGTGGATGAGGAAATTACCGCTGCACTAAACACAGCAAGAGTAGCGTTGGTGTTGTACAAACCAGCGGGAGCGCTGTCGGAAGACAAGGAAGACCCGTTTTTGTTTCGTCGTTTACATGGACGTCGCATATTTGACAGATGTCGAATAAAGATGAAGTTAGCCCTTGCACCTGTAGGAGGATATATGGACAAAACACTACTGGTACTCCAAGCACTCGCCTAGAATACCGTCCCATAATAGAAAATTAATGAAATCTGCCCACCACTAGGAAGCCAATTCCTATGTGACTTATGGATTGGTGAAAGTATCTAGGGGTATCTTGAGAGTTCATAACCTTGTACAGCCACAAGATAGTAGAAATAGTAGGACACCATAACCTCCAGGAATAACCCTCTTCCCATAAACGCCCTACACGACCTGCTAGGTAAAATACACCTGCCCTATTCCCTACTCCTGTACTTCGACAAGCTCCGTACACATACTTAGAAACCGATCCCGATACTCCTTGCTGTCGGCAGTGATACTCATAGGTCCTCGATTATCGATAAGATTGTAGCCCCTGACCAATCCGGTCATTGCCTTCGCGTGGACTGTGTGCTTTGCCCAGAAGAAATCCAGTATAGCCGCTCTATAGACCTCTTTGCCATTACTTGACTCCACTCCCGTGCGCCAGCTTGGTGGATTGGGAGGGGTAAAGGGGGGCTGAGCGGGAGGATTATGTTCGTCGCCGGCCTGTCCTGTCTGCGGTGGCGATGGCGATGGGAATCCCGCCTCCGGCGAGTGCATGGCGGAGATCCGGACAAGAAAGAGCGAATAGTCGACGGCATTGGAATTAGCAAGGAGCATAGTGTCATTTTCAAGCTGGCGCTTGAATTGAGTGGCTTGCGCCTCTGAGAGCCGAATCTTGTCGTGGAATTCGTCGGCAAGCTTCGACTTGGTCGCCTCGGTAGCCAAGAGCCCTCCAGCAATGTCTCTCTCGGGGAAGAAATATGAGGTGGGCTTGAGATCCCAGGCTTCCCATTTCGGGTTCGAATTTCCTTGAGCTTCTTGGGGTTTGCCATATTGGATGTTCTCCATGATGATGTGATGGCTCGGCGCGAGGCCTAACATGACGCCGATGCTCTGGTGGGTACTCTCAAGGAAGTCGGTGATGCGCACCAATAGGCTGGAACGGTTGGCACGAACATGATCGGCATAGGGCAATAACATATCGTTCTTGAAGAAGTCGTGCTCGAAATGCCTGGGGATAGACTTCACTAGAAAGCGGTTATCGCTGGTATGGAAGAATGTGGAACCGCTGTAACCCATATCGCCCAGAGGGACAAGGGCTCTCTTGTCCTTCTTATTCTTGAGCTTCTGTTTGTTGATGTCGAAGCTTTCCCTGTAATCATCTTCCTTGATCTGCCAAACACCACGCAGCGCCTTGAATAGATCCGGCCGTACCGGTCGAAAGGTCAACCAGTAGATATAAAAGAAACGAAGGATTCGTTTTAGGCATGAGGCTTTGCGAGCGGGCTCGCCGTCTTCCTTGCTGGTTAGGATAGCATAGACTATGGAGCGCGCAACCAATATGTCGCGCCGAGACATGCTGAAATTGACCCCTCTCCCACCGAATGTGAATGAGAGGAAGTTGAAGAAGAACGGAATAATTGCAAGAAGTTACAGGTAGAAGGTAAAAGTCCTGCGTACCTGCATAAGAGGCGTGTACCTGGAAGAAATGCTCCGAGTGACACAAACGGAGAATGACGTCACCATTAATAAACATGTCATCGACTTTATGAAATAACTCATGGGATAACTTATGAAGAAACTCAATTGTTTTTTTATTCCATATTATGGAATATTAAAACTCCCCAACTCCTACCCAGTTAACAGACCTAGATAATCTATCCTCATCATTTTTTCCTAAGTCGAGGTCGTGGTTCGAAATACGCCACAAATACAAATGGCGATCACGGGGTTTTCCGCGTCAATCGTCGCGCGCCGTCGTCGACCATCGCCCTAGCGTAGTATCGGTGGAGCAACTCGACGAAGAAAGGAGCCGGCTTCTTCCCTGTGGGCTCCGCGCTATTGAAGAAGACTGTCTTTAATCCAACGTCAACCGTGCCGGCTTGCCTGTTCAGCTTCGCGCTTATAACAAACAGCCCATCTACTTCGCGGGGCCCGGGCTCGAGTGGCGACCCGCCGCCTCTTAACGTCACCGAGTTGCGCGTCCTCTCTACCACCTCGAAATGGTCCGAGAACCGCGTTCCTAGCTCATACTTGGAAGACGCCAACTGCTGCTCGTCAAATAGTTGATTTTCCGTCTTGGGTCCTTTGTTGGTGATGGACATAATTGCCCGCTGAGGTGCGTATGCTGAGGAAGGCTATTAGCCTAGCTGCCTTTACGTTTCGTTTATTTGGTGTCGGAACCTACCATACCCAGCCCACGCGCCGCGACAGAATTCCATTGTCAGCGCCTCTTCATTTTCTCGGAGCTCCGGTCGGACATCTGATAAAGGTATGCTTTTCCAACATACGTCTTGTATTGACGGATTACGATGACGATTGAACCTTTTGAAGCTCCTGCTGGACCATAGCTCGTCGTCTGCCGATAATGGAGTCGTAAGATTGGTCGTCGCAGTCAAGTAACCGGCACCTCCAGCTGCAACTGCCAGCGCCGTACCGAGAGTCTTGCGAATCAAACCCATGGTGTACCACTAAAGCGCCTATAATAGATTATAGAATTCGAAATAGAGCGTATAGGATTATGGATCGCCAACGAAGTCAAATATGCTCAAGTTGGGAATTGCTCGGAGCTTGGAATATGTTTTGAGCCGAGAGGGAACCCCTGCATGGATAGCGAAGCTCTGCATAGCGAATCATGCAATGAGACGCTAGATCAGCGGGATGCTGATGCTTACCAGCCCCGCGCTCTCGGCCATCTTGTCACCATCTCGTAAAGCCGAAAAATCATTCACCATTAAAGTCACGGCAACTTCTCTTTCTAATTACATACTCTTGTTCTCCTAGATAGATTTATTTGTTCTGGCACACGATAGCTCGGCAGGTAACTGTACCCTTTATCTCCTATATGTCTCCAGCATCAGTTTAAGGTGTAATGCAATTATAAGCACCGCTTGCACAATGTTACTTGACCATATAGCAAGCGGTCACTAGTAAAATGGTATTCAGGTAGGTCCTCGCCGCAGATGGAATCAAGTTTCTAGTTGGAGTTAAAATAAACTAATGGATACTGTAAGCGGGCGGCGCAGAAGCTGCCTGGGCCTATCTCCCATGCAACGACATCGCAATTTAGATCTTGGATATGAAGGTGCCGAGATCTGTGCCAACAGTGCGTGGACTCCCAACGATTTAACCTCACATACGAAGGCTACATGGGAGAGCTGCTCTATAAGGTGCCACTGATTAAGTAATATGCCCAGTGGTGCCCTAGCTCACAGTTGATATTTTCTTGCTATAAACTTGAAAGCCAGTGTACGAATGTCGAAAAGGCGCTTAATGGTCACTTATTGAATCATCACCTATCCTCCCTCCTTGTATTGGCCACATGCAATTCACTTGCATTCATTTATTCATTTCATCTCTTTGGCATTCACTCATAATTAGGCAATTAGTCATAGGTACCACTCCCGCAAATTGGAATATTTACAGCTTCCGTAAAGGTTAATATTTGGATGTTTTTAACCCCTTTTTCGAAGTAAAGCCCTGTGGTTGGATGTACCTAAGGTCTTCAACCAATCAATTTACCGAAAATTGCAAGGTCTGTAGGTAGACATGATCGCCCCTTTCCTAGAAAAGTTAATCTCATCCCGTTTTAGGTCAATCAAGGGTAGTCTTTAGCCCCTTTTTGACCCACTGGTTTCACGCACTTGATTGATTCCATGAGATCCAGTCTGGTCGTTCTCTGCATTTCCAATGGTTCATCATTAAGAATTGCCGCTCAAGCTTAAATGAAATATTCTCAGAAAAGGAGTTTCGGCCTCTTCCGTAATATCAACTTTGGTGGTTCTTTGCTTACATATTACATAACTTGAACACAATTGCTAGCAACAAGGAATACGCCAAGTTCGGACGGATGGGACGACTTAGGGCGAATAGCCGAGGTTATGAAGATGTTATGAACTACACAATGCTTATCTTCAACCATACCTAACAGGCAGATTCTAACGATTCTCTGCTGTGTAGAAGTAGAACTCGTAGGGTAAAAGACGAGTTAAGTATAGGTAAGCATGTCGAAAAGAATGACTTTGAGGAGACAGGTTTTGAGCTCAAAACAGTGATGTCCAATTTTAACTATGAGTGACCGTCCATTGCTTTTCCACCGAAATGGTGTGCCTGGGAACCTCAGACGGAGCTGTTAGATTCTTCTCAGATCCGGATTCGTCGCCGGTCGTCGTCACCGCAGACTCGTACTTCATCTCGTTGCCCTTCGGGTTGTAATCGTCCATCTCCCAAGTCGTGAGATTCAAGGTGTCATTTGCAGTAGCCCCACCCTTGCTTCTCTGACCCGAGCCCTTGTTTCGACCCCCTGATGCTGATGCTCCGATGGTTTGCACATCTGAATATTCTTGCAATTTCGAGGCGCCGCGTGTTCGCTCTCTGTATCTGGTGTATAAAGGTCGAAGCATGGGGATGCTAACGCAGAGAATGGCGAGGTTCGGCTCCAGAATGAAGAGGAAAACTGTCGTAGGCATTGTGCCTGTGATGTTCGTGGTAAGATCAACTGTGGAGATGTAGATTAATCTGAAAACGGCGCAAATGACACATCTGGTGATATTGTCAGTAGGCAACGCCGCGAAATGAGAGCATGGTTCACCTTACGCAATGCCCAGCGCAAAACATGACATGATGCCGATCTTATCAGTCGTTCGCGTCTGTAAGGACCAGATAGTCTTCATTGGTAGAGCCATAATGACTATATCGCCGACTGCGTTTGTCGCGATCAAGGACTGGATCATCGGTATGTAGTCGCCACATTTACCAATGCCCGTCCACTGACCGGAGATGGGAGTGCAGAGGAAAATGCAGGCAGCGAGGTAAGAAATCATCCACGCCAGCACAAATCCTAAGCAAATCCATGCCGCACGCTGCATGGAGGGAGTGACGAAGACACGCAAGAAAAAACACAGCATGCTCGCTTTGACTGATGCGAGTAGTGTGACGTATATGATTTGCATACAAAATGTCAACTTGTATCATGTAAGTAAGCGTACCGGAAAAGGGGAGTTGTCGGATGGGTAGCACATACCTGGAGAATGAATGGAATATTGACCGCGACTAATCGTTCAAGAATTAGCATTTACTCTGGATGTTTTCAAAAGACGCAAGACTGGTGTTATTCAAACCAGAATTTACGTAAATCATGATACTAATCTCAGGTCTCGTGGACAAGAATATAACATTATTCTAGACTTACGCTCTGGGTATTGGATTAGGTCGTAGCCGTTTCCTACTGGAGCGACTATAGATATAGCTGATTAGCTTCTGTTGTTGAATTTCTGGCAGTCAAGTAACTTACAGAGGCCCTGACAGATCAACATCCCAACTCCCAATGGCTACCAATTTGTTAGGATATGGCTTCGTGAAGATAGTGGGTCCGAGAGAACAAACCGTCGCAAACAAAATCAGTCCGTCGTCCCATCCCAGGCCCGGCCCGTTAACTCGTGCGACTACTCTTAGCGTAATTGTGCCTAATACCAAAATGACGAAGATGACATTAATGATGAGCTCAGCTCTCACGAAGCCCTTGATGGGCATAAAGACCTCCGGAACCGCCATGTTGACTGTTGGAAACTCGACAACCCAAAAAGTGGTCGATTCTTTTTTACATCGAATAGTGGCTAGCAATCTTTATAAAAGTCATTCGAGGCCATGCAGAAAGTTGAAGGCTCCATCAAAAGGAATGCTACCTTACCAATAAAACTTGCGAAAACCCTAGTACAAGGCCTGACAACAACATGGATTGGCAACCGGGATAGTTTTCAAGTCCCGGGGGTAACATTAAATCTATGCTCCCATCGTGCTGGAATTACATAGTTATCATCAATATAGCATGTTCATTCCCCTTTCTAAGGGACTTTCCCTGGTAAATCTTAGGTAAGCCTAATATGCGCACGACACAGCGCACAGTCACCATTCAAGCCTCTGCTTGTATGCTACTTGGGAGGGCTTGATCCGTAGGTGCTTCGAAGCTGTATTCACTAGATCTTGGCTTTGCAAGCGTCCTGCCATCGAGCCTAGAGACGTAGTATATTTCTCGAACTCGCTATTAGTTCACCGTAAGCGAGCGTACTTAAGTTAGCCTGTACAATATATATGGGTAAGGGAGTTAACACCACCATACGATTCCACGGAACGCTAGCGCCTGGATGTCACGCACGCGAGTTTCCGGGGAACTAGGAGCCTCAAGATCCGCCTATAATAGATTACACTTGTCTAGGCATAGTATAAACTCTTGGGCAAATGCTCGATGGATGCGAGGCCGCTTGCGAATTCTACAATGTCTAGCGTCCAGACTCTGAAAAGGAGAACAACAAGCCAGGTTTATGTCCACTATTCTACGGAGACCTTCATGAAGCTATGCTAGATAGAGCGGGTCGCGAAATAGTGACGACTGCTCCACGTACAAGGAGAAGAAACATTCTAAGCTCATACAAGTTAATATCTCGTGGCAAAAGGTGACATCGAACGACGCCGCGCTATTTTCTCGCAACTAGCGAATGGGTCTATCTCTTGTTGTGCTAGCATGGTTCAAAGAAGCCTCAATTCACTTTACTACGTAGTAGAGGCTTGGGGCCGCAGGTAGCCCGTGGTGATCGTCGCCACTAGCTTATTGCTGCCACGGACAAATTTGCCGGTGCTTAGAGCCGAACTAATGAGAGATCCCCAGTTCCTGGATTAGTGCCCAAACTGCGACTAGTGCATACTCAGCCAGTCAGCCTAGAAGAAAAGCTGTGGATCCGCGACAGCCTGGATACATGCTATTATCTGGGTGGGACAGCCATTAGTATGCAATAGGCTAGTGAATAAAGCATTCGTCTCTACCCGATATTAGGAAGGGTTACGCCGTTTAATGAGCACTAATCCCGTCCCGCTCCCGTCACTCGGATTCTAGCTCCCGAGTTTCCCCTAACCACACGGCTAGCGACTCCGTGATACTCTCTCTTGCTTCAACTCAGATATCTATATATAATTAGACATACGCTTATACACTAGCTCTATCTCGATCCTAGAAATTTTCATCGTAATTTGTATTCAATCTATGGACGGCTCGTAATAAAAGATTGCCAGATGGTTTATTTTGGTGGACAGAGTGTCGCCCCTGTTCCAGAATTTGTGTCGAGATCGCTGTTGATAAATTCTGGAGTTGAACAAACATCTGACGGCCCCTTCCAGAACGAATGAAAGGGCCACAGTTACATCGATAATATATGCAGTATTATTCCATTTATTTGCCAGAGCCGAATTTTCTCTTGCACTAAGGATGTCATGATGCTTGGGCTCATCATCGAGATGACGTCTCTCTGAATATGATCCCAGGAGCAATCATTCACGCATTCTCCACTTAATAAAACAAATTCTTTCACTCCCTACTTTCCATCTGAGGGCATTCGAAGCCATTCCGTTCATTACCTACTTTGCGGTGGTCACTGACAGCTACACCTAAATGAGTTCCAATACCCGATGCAGCGCCTAGCTATATCCAGGCAGGGAGAGTAACATGGGGAGCACATCGTCGGATCGGTGCATGATTGTTGCTTTCTATGCTTGTGAAGAAAAAGCTTGGATCTTGACTAAGAGGTGTAGGCGGATGCTAATGAGATTGGCCACCCCGTAGCTTCGAAGTCAAATTAGTAGGATATAACGTGATCGGCGTTACTCATTGGATTGTTTAAATGCCCCCCTTTGCGTATTATCGTCGCACGCTTATGATTCTATGACGCGGTTTATGGACTTCGCCATTGAACCACCAGATTTTCGCATGTACCTAGTATCTCGACCATTAGCACTCAGTCATGTGCCTAAGTAGATACTTCATAAAGGCAGTTGAACCGTAATAGTAGTCTTCACCCTCGACTAACATTGAGCTTCTACTGGTTGATAGGTGGCGTTCGTTTTCGCCTTGGACTGGCGTAAGATAGCGGCGCGAAGACGTAAAGAAAAGCACCTCAGACTGTTTACTTTAATATTGTCAAGAGGCGGAACCAAGAAGCTAGGGAAGAACGACGTTGTTGCGCGAAGGGCTCTAACTAACCCCTTCCAGGGAACGCGGTATACATACATGAACCTTCCTTTGTCTATAGCTGAGGGCTAGCTGCCAACAGGGCGGCCTCGTACAGGCCGACTCCCGATACCTCTGACTACCAGCTCTCATGGAGGAAGCTTCTGACAGATATCATATCGATTTTTCGAGCCTAACCATCTCCCTGAGATTAAATTAACGGTATTATGGAATTGCCATTGGGTTAGTTTCTTATCAACATTGTTACGAACATGGATAGTCTAGGATCCAATATTATCTACGATAACAAGTGATTAGTACCTAGTCGTAGGCTTTTTCCTGGATGGAGCAAATGATGAAATTGCATCGGTTTCGCCGAGGAGACAACGCATGGGACATGGCCCAACATCGCCTTACACCTCCCGTTATCACTTCTGGGCAGAATATAGGTATGTAACGATGCGGACCTAGTAGACGTGGTAGCAGCCTGACTATTCCACGAGACCTAAGGCCGCCTTCCTAGTATTGGGGCTCACACCTTTTTGACTGGCATAAGACATTGACTCTGCTAATTATAATTCGTAGTTGTGTACGAGGATTTGCTAATAGACCTGACTTGACTGTGTTTAGCCAGTTTGGTCAATCATAACAGGTTGGCCAACGAAGTATTGTACCGGTTTGCAGATCAATGTCGTCTTGCTCCAGTCGAAGGGATATATCCTAAGTTCTTCTACGCTATCCTGGACTTGCCGTCGATACGTGAACCCCAAAGCACCGGCCTATTAACGGCCGAACCCGGAACCGAACGGTCTTCTGGTATCTCTTTTACTGATACTTATCTATACTTATCATAAATGTCACAGGGAGATTAGAGCATCCATCCTAGAAGGGAATAGCCCTCGATTAGCTCGGCTGTAGTTAAGTGAATATATCTAGCTCGCTATTCCTTAGGAGCAACACTTCCCTTTTCATGATAGATCATACCTTTCACTACTTATGTTAGGTAGAGACCCAACATCCACCAACTGTGTGCCATATATTATATAATACATATGTTCGTCTCTCACGATGAGTCGGCTCGTATGTGTATGAATGAGTGACGATGGTTTTAATATCAAATACCCTTTGATATTAATGGGCAATGGATTGTACGTAAGCATATCATACCTGATTCGGGTAGGTGTAGACAACCGACAGCTAAGGAGACGCTGTAGATCTCGTTGTATGCGCCTGAGCCAGGAAAGAGTGTTGGCTCCGGTATGACGACGCTTTTACGTGGTCGTATAGATGAACTATTAATGAATTAAATCGACCATTATCATATAATCTTAATATAATTTTAGTAGTACCTCCTGAAAAGCAACTAGGTCCCTACGTATTCTGTAGACAGCAAATAAAATATCGCTTAAAGGATTTTATCTGATATCTTATATGCCTCCGTAAAGTTGCAAAATCGATCCTGAATAGGTAATGCAGATCACAGTGGTTACATCCGCTACGACCAAAAAGGCATCACTTCAGCAATTTTCGGGAAGGTGAGGCGACTAGCTGAAGCAGTCATGCCCAACCATTCGCCGCTTTTCGGAAAAATGGATTGGTAATCGCTAATTATTTCGCACCATCGTTTCAAGATTCAAAGACGAACATACTACCAGAAACGTGGGAGTACGGGAGGCGGTCAATGTCGGATCCGAACTAGCACGAATATTGCTGCACGTGGTGCGCCGGACCTATGCCTCGATCTAGAAATTTAGATCCCCTCTTAACCAATATTCCAAGCGATAGTCCAACTCTAACCGGGTAACCGCCTAAAGTGGGCACCCATACTTGCGGTGTGAGTGGGGGTATACTATCGTCGGTATACCTGATACCAGTTTCTCTATAGCTTGTGCGACTCAAGTTATATACCTGCCTAAGTATCGAGTATGTAGGAGTAAGGAAATTCAAGATATATCCCCCAGTAACTCCCTTGAATCAACAGCAATGACCTCATCGACGCCCCGTACCACCAAGCAGTGGATCCTCGCTTCGAAGCCCGTCGCCGCTCCGGTGCTCTCGGGACCTGATGCGACATTTAAACTGGAGACCGTCACGCTACCAGCACTAAAGGAGGGCCAGCTCCTGGCCAAGGTGAAATACTTCTCCAACGACACGGGCCTGCGAAACTTCATCCAGAGCACCGTCGCGCCCGAGCGCTTCTACGTGCCCACCGTTCCCTTGGGCTCCCCCATGCGATCCGGCATCATCGCAGAGATTATCGAGTCGAAGTCCCCGAAGTTCAAAGCCGGAGATCTGGTTCTGGACTTCCACTTGGGCCAATGGAGCGAGTTGGTCGTGCTGGAGGCGGAAACCTCCCAGCCCCTGACGCCGCTACCGAACAACCTCCCGCTAACGCATTACCTCGGTGCTTTCGGTGCGTCGGGGCTAGCTGCGTATACCGGCTTGGTCTATGCAGGAGGTGCTAAGGCCGGGGACACCATCGTGATCTCTGCGGCTGCAGGCGCCACGGGATCCATGGCTGTACAGATCGCGGTGAAACTGCTAGGTGCGAAGCGCGTGGTCGGCATCGCCGGGTCGGACGAAAAGTGCGCCTGGGTGCGCGACCAGCTAGGCGCGCACGCGTGCGTCAACTACAAGAGCCCGACATTCGTGGAGGACCTGAAGGCCGCGACGCCGGACGAGGTCGACGTGTACTTCGACAACGTAGGGGGCCACGTGCTGGACGCTATGCTTACGCGAGTGAAGAGGCACGGGACGATCGCCGTGTGCGGTGCGGTCTCCGCGTATAACTCGGGCGAGCCGATGGCGCTGGCGAATTGGTTCGAGTTGATCTCCGGCCGGATCACCATCCGCGGCTTCATCATGCTGGATTACATGGACAAGGCGCCCGCCATCCTGAAGGAGCTTATCGGGGCCGCGGCCGACGGCAAGATAAAGCTGGGCGAGGGCGAGACGGTTGTGGAAGCGAAGATCGAGGAGCAGCCTGAGATATGGATGCGGTTGTTCAAGGGTGGCAACCAGGGGAAACTGCTGACCAAACTGATTATCTAGAAAACGAAGTTTTCTTTCACTTACCTGGGCGGTTACAAGCCAGTGGCTGGACTTGCTAAGCGGTTAGCACTATTAATAAACGTAATATGTGATCGTACTGGGGTATATAAGCGGACCGTGCTACCTTGCGATCTTTGTCAGTGATATTTCAAATTTTCTAACTACCTGGGTATATGAATACTATCATAGCTGGCTGTTGGTATGTTTTGATGAGGATATCATTAAATGTCCACTTAGGTTACTACGCGAAGACATCGGCACCGACAATTTAGGAGTTCAGACATATTGGTTCCGTTGGTGTATCCCCGTGGTCTATGTACAACCCCAAACGGATACGACGTTGCCTAGGTACCTACCAATGGAATTCCTCACCCTATTTATAGAATATAATATGGTATACATAAGCGGGTTGCATTGTCAATCTAGCAATACTACACTGCCTAAAACAAAGACTTGTAACGTTTCTATACATAGCTTTGCGTGGGAGAGGCAAATTGAAAATAGTCTTTATAAAGATTATTGGACAAAGGCGAGGCAGGGAAAGAGGCCTTTAAAGGCTTTTCCATCAGCCCCCGCCCACATTCCGAATTCCTGCATTTGCTAATTAATAAACCATCATCACGAGACATGAAGTCAAACATTAAACTTACAGTATACGTGGTCACCTCGACCACGAGCGAGTTCTTAGCATAAGAAACAATCAAAACCGTTCAAGAGTCACCGTACTTCGTGGTTAAACTGATGTCCACGCGGGAGCTCACGCGGAGGGGGTGGCAGCGGAACCGTAATAGGCGTCGCGATCGACTCATGAGGACCGAGCGCCTCTTGCGGGAAATCGATCTATATCTCGAACTGTTATGCGACGTAGGCACGCAAGGGTCCGACTCTAGAACTGGATGTACGTCGTCCGTATAATATAACAAGTGGGCGTCGCTAATGGTCGATAGTCCGGGTAGTTCATAACCCATTCCTCATAAGCTTTTTGGGGAATTGAATAGGATTTCGATAATATACGATCGAACTGAGTTAAGTTGTGTTGTGTTGAGGATAGAAACACGGAGAATGTTTGCTGAATAAGAGTTACGAATCAAAATTTAGTGCAATATATCTAGCCTAGGTGTGCATCGTCTCATATCACATGGGCTCTATCGTACAGAATAGGGGCATCTTGGAATTATATTCCGTATCAATCACACTGCGCGTAAGTATAATAATATATGCTTCTCATATAAGTATCAGGTAGGTAACCAATATGTGGTCGAAGCTTTCCAAAAGATGAATACATCAAGTTCATATTTTCGGTCCTATCTAACTCCATGACTCCTTTCGTCAAACTTCCTTTGAGTTATCGGGTGATGTTTCCAAGATATAAGAGACCTTGGAAGTGCGGCCTCTTCTAACCATTCCAACACAGGAGTTTTGCTGATCAATGGCCCAATCGTATTGTTAATGGAAATTCTACTCAATGGAATATTAGGCAGAAGATACTTCGCGGTGATTCTATCCTTCCACGATAACCATGCGAGCAGTCTGGCAGTTTTTGACGAGATCCCAGCCATTTTTTTCGTGTCTCTTAAACGCTCGTGTTCGTAGGCCTCGAATAAGCCCTTCATAGCCTCCATGTCTGGGGTTCTATCATGTTGTAATAACCGCCGTAGACCGTTTACAAGTACGACAAGGTCTGTTACACCACTATTATATCCTAAGCCAGCGTGAGGCTCTAGCTTCCGAACAGCGTCGCCAACAAGGACGATACGTTTGGAAGCCCATTTCTTTATCAATCCCTCTTCAAGGTCGATGAGCCCCGTGTCTCCAATCCGATTAGCATCCACCTCATGAACTTTCCACCCCGGCGCCATATAGAGATGACCGCATCTATCTAAGATCTTAAGCTTATCGGCTTCCGTATATCTTGTGACTGTCGGTGTGGGTGACCTGATGTGCTCATAAACGCCAAACCAGGCTCTGTCCGTGCCGGTAACGATTTGAGTTGATAAACCGTCACACGTTCCATCATACCTTGTGTTGGCAGCTAACCCGGGGAGGACAGGGATTCTTCCAAAATATAGCCGATATGTCGGAGTGTACGGGCATCTCTGGTCTTGTGGAAGGTTCTCTGGCCTTTTATCATTCACTAAAGATCTCATGATGACCCGAACGTTGCTGCGTACGCCATCAGCTCCTACGACAATAGAGCCCTCATGCGTGCTTCCGCCAGCACATAGAACTTTCACGCCATCCTCTAAGAGTTTAATATCCACAACACGCTTTTCGAGTAGGATGAAGGGTTTTACTGTCTCCGACAAGCTCTCATAGAGGAACTTGACTAATTCAGGACGGTGCGTAATTCTGATCCCATGGCCGTGACTGATGATTAGGTGCCCAGTTAGAAGCATCTAATAATCTCATTGTATTGTGACATACTTTTTCTCTACTAAGGTAACCGTATCATCCCTCATTCTGATGCGGGCATCCTTGGTTGAAAGTGTAATCACCTCATTGACGTAATCTAGGCTTGGCTGAATTGCCGAGAGCAGACCCATCTGGTCGAATACGCGGAGGGTCTGAGGCCATAACGCCAACGTAGTCCCATGGAGAGACACCACAGTGTCATGTTTCTCTAGGACGGTAAAGTCGATACCGGCTCTTGAAAAGATGTGCGCTGCGGTGAGGCCGACCAAGCCACAACCCACAATGATAACGTGAAATGGCTTCTGCGATTCCATTCCGAGATCGCTTATAGCACAGTAATCCAGATTGAATCGATTTAGATACAAGTGTGACCGTGGGAAATATCTATGATAATAGGCGTTGTGATGATCTGTAAAATAATAGGACGGTAGGCTCGATCGGTAGGGCCAGTGGCAATGTACCCGATAGCCCCCAATGGAGGGATTGGCAATTAATTCAATCTTCGCAAGACATGAGTTTTACATTGACGCAGACAGGACTAGTGACGTCCTTCATACTACCCTCAGGCTTGGATTTGTTGCAACAGAAACTGCCGGGGTGCAACGTACCTCTACACCGTACTTGCATCGCCGAGTCTATTTATAACAGTACTCAGATGAAAACCACTGTGGTCGGATTCTGTCTTATAAGGCGTCCAATCAAGCTCAGCAAAAGCATTTCTTAGCTAGTTTTCGTGCATCTTCACCGAGGTCTCGTTGCAACCCTTCTCGCAGTGTGGGATACGGGCCAAGTTCTTAGCCTTATTGACGTATCAATTAGAATCTAAGGGTATCATGTCTCTGGCTGTTCATAATAAAAGCAGCAGTCGATAAAAAACACATCACACTGGAATGATCAAATCAAGCTCCCATCAAACCATGTATGTTAATATACTGGTAAGTATTGTTGTAGCCTTCGTAGGCAACTACGCGGGTAGGTAGCAATATCGAGAGATATTTTGCAACTATCACCTGTTGTGAAACACACTCTATTCCCCTAGGACAGACCGATTGTAAGAAATTAGATCAATAGTCAAAATCCGATTCATTCGTCTCAGTTGAATGGAAAAAGTTTTCTTCCATTATTCGCTTTTCTAATTAGGTACCTAGCATCGTTGTTTATACTTCAACCTTCTTAACAAGATGGAATTAGACGCAAATGGCGTGAAAAGATTTGCAACCAGCATCAGCTGTTGCGCAATCGTTATCCTATCTATTGCTCTGCGCTTTTGGTGTAAACTCTCATTGAAAGATGGTATACATGCGGAAGACTGGCTCATATTTACTGTGATACCGACATATACTGGAGCCACAGCTGATGATATATGGGGTATGTCGGTCTTGGTCTCTTATTCCCGTTTAGCACTGACATTTAAAGGACTCCTCAAGGGGACCCATGGCAAAGAGGTAGATGCAGCGGCTGCCGCAGTGCTCCTAAATCCTTCACCTGGAAATGTCGCTGCGTTGGAAATTTCTTTGGAGGTATTCTTGACAACTTGTACTTACCCATCCTATCCACTTCCATGGCTGACTAAATCCAGTCGCTTTTCATCGGGTTCTTCATTTCTCCCTTTGGAGTCACAGCAATCAGAATTTCCATCTGTTTATTTTACCGGCGCATATTTTCGACACCCAGCTTTCGAATCCAATCCTTGGCAATGATTTGTATATGCATCGCATGGCTCATCGTGTCCGTCGTGGTCTGCCTTGTGTATTGTATTCCAATTGATACTTTCTGGCATCCTTTTCAGCATGGGCATTGCCTAAACTTCAATTTATATTATTTACTAATCGGAATTTTTGAAACCATAATCGATTCCGCGATATTGGCACTCCCCGTGCGGGCCACGTTCCAAATTCAGCTACCCCTGAGAACCAAAATCCTCTTGTCGGGAATCTTTCTTCTAGGAGGCTTGTGAGTGACCAACCCTTCAATTATCTCAATCCCCTACATAAGCTTATATATACTTGCAGTGTTATTATCACAAATGCTTTTCGCCTATCTGCTATCTACCAACCCAATAGCACCCGCGGTAAGAAGTATAACCACAACTACACGGAGTTGGCGACGAACGCTGACCATTTAGTATCGCTGAACGATGCCACTTTCTGGACCCATATTCATTCTACAACAGCGGTACTCTGCGCAAATATTCCACTCTACAAGCCTCTTAGGAACATTGCGGATAACTTGTTCAGCGGGATCCGAAGCATGTTCTACTCGTCGTTTCGCTCGTTGCGAAGTAACCAGAAATTGCGAATTGGGGACTCAGCAGATGATTCCGGAAGTGTTTCCCGCTTGGAAACAACCACGGATGCAAGTACTTATAACCAGTCAAAGCATTACTTAGGAGACTCGGCGAACCCTATCCTTGTCCCTCATGAAGGGGTAAATTTAACGACAGCTAGGCGTAGTGATGCGTCCATCGACTGCGAATATATCCCAAATGGAAGAATTGTTCATACGAGAGAGGTCAACGTTGTTTGAAGTCGATCGGAATGTGTATGTTAGGGGCATAAGTGGAGTAGGCCTAGAAGGAGGTCCGCAGGACCTCCTGCTAGGCAAACGCGAGTTAGCAAGGTATAAGAAGGGGGCTTCGCCCCCTTCAACCTTAGAGGAGGTAGCGTTATTAGTTCATCTCATACTTGCTATATACTAGCAGCGGCTACGCCGCTCCTTTGCACTCACTTTACGCTTGACTTAGGGACCTATTACTGACAGTGTAGGTATCTTATTCTAATGTTTGTCGAGTTAGAACATTTGACATTGGAAGGCGAAGCAGGACGAGGTTTGAATTGATTCCACACAATACTTTCTCCTTTATATTGACATATGCTAGATGTGATTGTATCCCTTTAACTGGCAAGTGTCCACAGGAGGAGATGAGGGAACAAGATACAGTTTCACATGACCTAGTGGACCAGAGTCCAGAGTAGGTAGAGTATGGACGGTACAGGGTGTTACTTTGTAACCCAGGTGCTAGGTTTATCTTGCTTCTCAATCCCTAGGCTGTAGAGAACTAGCAGTAAAGGGGATAAAGTTATGCTGTAACGTGTCTAGATATACTCGTGATCCCATCGAAGATGGATCTCTTTGAGAATAAAGCATTGAGTATTACACAAGAATGATTGTGGTGTGTTATTTCTAAGTGAAGAGTTAAAGAGCTCAACGCATCTCACTAGGCTCTCGATGAGAGCGGCTAAGGGGTGGGGGAGGCTCAAGGTCAAGCCGATCGACAGGTAGTGGTTGCTTATTACGGAACGTTGAGCCCCCAGAGGAAATATCTGGCATCGTAGTATCATCAGGATCATCAGAATCATGTATATCAGAGCTATCTACGTCCAATAGTTCTACTTAGAAAGACTCACGCCCGTTCGCTCAGACGGTAAAGATAACAACAACAACTACTACTATCTGGAAAGATACATACGGCAGTTATCGAGGGGGTGGACGACGTGTTGAAACATTTCTTGTCGCCAATTCTCCGGCGGTATGTTACGGCACCCCTCGAAACACCATCTGATAGCTTCATCAAAGTCAGTTCCCGCCTCTTCGTTAACTTCATTGGCCCATTGTCTGGCTGCGACGACGTCAAATTTGTACTTTTCTAGCTCGTTATCTCCAGCAGGCCACTGCTTGCGAACGGGGTGCTCTTCGAGCAGCTGACCAAAGCATAACTCCAATAAGACGATGCCAATTAACTCAAAAGATTCATATCTCCTTATATTGTCACCGTTGATGGGGATGTCACCAATCATCAAGGGTTGCTGTTGCTGGCTACTTTTCGATCTAGACGAAATTGTGAACTCGCGCTTTAAATATGGTTGGTCTAGGAGAAACATGCTGGGGCTTTTCTCATCGTTGATGAAGACGATGTCGGATTTTCTCCATGAGGCAGGAAGCCAGGGAGTATCAAGAAGCTGGAGGAATGATGACGCTAGAGTAAGCGAGAGAGCGTATCGTTGTCGACGGCTAGGTAATACCTCTCCTCGAAGTATATGGTCGATGGTAACGCTATCGAACTTTTCAGTTTCCTGGCGTGATATTCTGCACACGTAATATCTATTGTCTTCTTCGGTAAGATATCCGTAGCATCCATCAACATCTGAATTCAACGACCTGCAGAGACTAGAGATAGGAAGCCCTATATTAGCCTGCGAGGCGGCTGAAATGGATGCGCACGCTGTCACGGGTCTGGCGCTAGGTTAGCTTAAATGATATAGATTAGAGAAGCCCCAACCCACTTCTTATGCGTTGGCATTGGCGGTACACTGATGGTGTCCCCCCTTTTAAGTGCTGATCTTATCGGGATGCTAGTTCGATGATACGGTTGATGAACGGTAGCCTTTATGTTTACTGAACTGCTCATTGATGACTCTTGAGAATGAGGTTCAACACCCGCTGTTATCAAAGCCTTCTGTATATGCCAACTTGAAGGCGATTGTTTGGCGAACAGCATGTTGAACTCATTTTTATCAGTAGTTCTATGCTGCAGCAATAACTCCGCTAGGTGCCGATCATGACAACAGCAGGTCCATGCAGTGGAAAGCGCTTTGAATAAGGTATTAGCATGTGCCCATATGTTACATAAAACTGCACTACCGGGAGGTTGACTAATTGTCGGCATCCTGGTTTGTATGTTTTGAGTCTCATCGTCAATCATACTCAGCAGCCGTGTAAACTGAGAATCGTAACGTTCGAGCTCCTCGAAAAGCCGATTTCGAGTGGTTTCACCGATGCTGAACCTGATTCTGTATAGTTGGGGTTGAATACTATCCTTCAAACGAGACTCGAAGGTCCATGATTTCTGATGACGATGATGATTAATAGCGCCCTCATAAGTTCAGTGACTGCTGACTGCGACTAACCCGCTTTCCGAGATATTCCTCCAAAGTAGAATTCGGGATTAACTCGCGATTAAGCTTCCCCAAGACATCATTGATCCCTTCAATACAGTCTATGAGAAGTTGTTGCATCTCTTCGCCCAATCTCTGTTGTAAGAGATCCGTAGTCTCTTTTTCTTGCCAACCACTGCCTCCAGGATTCGATAGCAAATCATTCATAACATCATCTTTTTCAACCAAGGGGCGCAAGAGTTGCCTAAGATGGCTCTTAAATGATGCTTGGTAGAATTTGAGCTTATGTTTGCACTTGGTGTACTCGGGCCTGATCTCATGGAAGATGCGAAGGCACCTGGTAACTTCCTGAACCGCCTTGAGGGCCTCGATGGCTATCGGAAAAGCACCTAGGACCGCGCCGACAATCTCAAGGCCTGACATTGAACCTAGCCGAATAGTAGGGCCTTATCGTAGGATGTACGACGTGGGTTATGGGCATGATCAGTAGGGAATTAAACATCTATGAACATTATAGCTTAGAGGAGATAAGAGCAAAACACGAATTTTCAACCAAGTGAGGGGTAAACGTTTTGTACAACGTTGTAGTGCAGAAATGGTATCCAATCATGGATTTTCATCATTATAGATGAGCGTAAATACCTAGGTAGGTATGTATCCCGGCCGGCATATTCTGTTGTTCTCCCAACCCCTCTCTTCATTCGAATGTGAAGCCCACTACGAAAATGTCTGAGATACTAACCGATACGCAAAGCAGAAGCATATCCACGCTAAGCCACGACGTGAAATCTAGTCTTTCTAACTTGAAATTGGGCTTAGAAAGGCAAACCGACATTGATCAATTTCCGATACAACCGAATGTCCTTGAGGATCTTTTGGACAGGTTCTTGTTGTGGGCCGGAAATTTAGGGGCACTCCAGGATTCGACGAGCACGCTTTCATTAGATAGTCGCATCTCATCATCTCCGGAGATTTACGAGCAAGTATGCGAATTTCTCGACGATCTACGTGAAGCTATTAATGATTGTAGGTCAAATACGATATCTTTTTTGTTTAATATGAGTTAATCATCCTATAGTGACGGAAATATTCGAAGGGAATCGACCTAATAGAGATCTCCAGAATCCCGTTACCGAATATCTTGACATATGCCACGATTACGAACTGGAAAACCCCCCTCCTCTCGGGCTACCGTGTTCTGACGAGGCACATGCCATTGTTGAGGTTATTTTACAATGCATCCGATCTCTTTTCAGAATCGGTGTATTGATCCGAAAATCAAGTCCCCGAGATCGATTTCAGCAAGCTCTCCAAGATACGGATTGTGTGTTTCCGACAGTGTTCGACATTGACCATGTCCGGCATAAATACCCCAAACTAAGCGAGTCCAACACGCAGACCATCACGGGAAGGATGGGAAAGGCGAATGCGAAAAGGAGACAGTTCATAAAATACTGTCGTGACCACAAATCACGACTAGAAGCTGAAGATGAGAGAGCTGAAAAGCAGTCGAGCAAAGCCACTACCCTACCCCCAACTGGATTAGACCAACTGACCCAGCTAGAGCGGTACACGGCGGAAGATGAAGATAGAATATCATTAACTACGGCATCGACTACATTTGAGTCTGCTGAGGATTGTAGACTGCCAACGCTCGGAGAACTATCGCCCGACTTTGAGCCATTTGAATGCCCTATATGCTTCACACTTCAGTCTTTCCGACGAGAGAAGGCTTGGAGGTACATTATTTACCTACATACTTACCTTCTGAACTTTGTCTAGCAACTGACACACTGCAGATTCCACGCCTTCTGCGACCTCAGGGCATATGCTTGTACTGTGGGAGGGCCGGAATGCGAAGAAAAGCTATTCATGACTCGCAATTCATGGTTTGAACATGAATTAAAGGTCCATCGATCAAAATTTGCATGCCCTATATGTAAGAAAGATAGCGACAGCAAAGTGACTATGATGTCTCACATCGGATCTGCGCACATCAATTTCACAGCTGAGCAGATCCCGATATTGGCTGAGGAAGGACGGGTGGTGCCAACCCGCTTTGACGCCCGAGAATGTCCATTTTGCAATGATTGGGCCGTGAAACTGAGATCTAAGCGTCAAGCACTCGAGGGAACCCAATTTACCACCCAAGACGAGAGTAAATTAGTTGTCTCAATGTCACGATTCAGAAAACATGTGGCTACCCACCAAGAACAGCTCGCAACATTTGTGGTATCAACACCGCGAGAACCCGGCGACACAATCAGTGAAAGCGAAGATGACGACGAGCTTGTCCGGGAGGTTGACAAACTAACGATAATGGACAATGCCCCCAATACAATTAGATTTAGGACTAGCGCTGGCGGTGGCAGTGTCGGTTACAGTGGGTGGAGATGGGACTGTGTGAGTTGCTAGACCTCTTGACTATTCAGGTTGAAAGCTGACTGAAGTGAAGTGTTCTTGTTCCAATGGGGCCAATCAATCCTATATATACAATCCTAATTGCGTAGAATGTTGGCATCGAAGGGCGGATTGTTGTGAAGTCTACAGAATCAAAATAACTTCCTAAGATCGATGTTTTGATTTAAGTGTACGGATTGGCTGGTGGGGCTTACGAATAATGAGGAATTAAGAGTCGAGAGATGTAACGTAAGCTAGCAATGATATATGTTTTGATATTGGCTTCATTAATTTGTACCTAGTGCCGCCCCTTGCAATATAAGTGATTGCCTACTATGTAGGTAGATATAAGCCTGCTTATACAGTACGCAGTACGACGTGAAAGCATTGTCCATAGCAGAATAAGAGAAGAAGGAAGGTGGAATTGTGGTTCGTCCACCAAAAAGAGTTCTACGAAAAGACAGTATATTCTGGGCTCTTTGACTGCTTCGTCCGATATTTCTGGCAGCGTAAAAGCTAGGTAGAATTCAAAGTTCGCCATTAAGAACAATTAACACGTTCGTTTGAATTAATAAATGGTATATAGGATATCTATCTAGATATTGTATTGGAACTTCTCAAGGATGAGAAGTGCTACGAACCAGCAACTAGTACTGAGAACCTCCAGGCGTGGGTATACTCTACCATGTACTTCAAAAGGACCGCTGGTTCTGCCGATGAACTCTTCTCCTGTAGAGTTAAGACTCGAACGGCCAGCACGACTTGCCACTGGATTCTCGCTAGCAGCTAGGCAGGACGACAACGTCTCAGGTCCGTTGCAGGTGTTGAAATAGATGCAGGTTATGAGTATCATTTCATGTATATTGGAAGGTTAAGTTGCTAGAAGTAGGTACAGGCTGTTAGATAGTACATTATATACCTGTGGATACAGGTCGTAAACTTCCAGCCACCTATATTCCAGCACCAGGCTCCCACACAGTTCCGAGGACTTTGGATATTTAATAACGTCCCGTCAAGGAACACGAGTGTCAAGAATCGAGTGGGAGCGAAGACTCGTCGCAAAGCTCTCCGCGATACCGACGCATCTATCATCACTCCCGATTTACAAACATCTGAGCAAGCCCTGTCACCAGAAGGGGTAGATACAACGGTCTCGACCCATCACCATACGCCATCGGAGAAGCGCGATATCTTTGGAATTGGGGCCTGTGATATGTTCAGCCTCGAGTTGGCGCTGTCACGAAACGCGAAACGACGAGAACGTTCATTGCGTGTCCCCACTAGATCTCGAAGAACCTCTTCTAAGTTCGATGAGCGAGGAAGACTTGACTATCCCCAAGAAGATTGCCGGTTCTTCGCGTCAAGTTTATTGTATCACCAGCGACGGCGACGAGAAAGCATGGCAACCAGAGAAAGCTATATCTTCCGGCTTCAGCCAGGCGATCATGCAGGAACACCCCGGTCTACTTTTCGCAAGCATCGGCACGGACGATGCGGCAGCGGCCTCAGAGACGCTTCGAAGGATTTTCTAACGCACCTCGACGATACCAGACGCCGAGAAATGAGAATCCGACTACCTCCAGTCTGACGGAATCGTCTCTAATCCGAGAGTGACGGAGTCAAAGACATCTATGTCTTGTCCATTTGCAGACCTGTAAACTCGACGTAGAGAAAAAGAAGGTGGGAAAGGAACCGACATATGCATTGACACTGGGTTTCATGTTTAGCCAGCTCCACAGCTTCCGCTTCCGGAACGAAGCTTTCAACCTTCAGCTCGCAGAGGACGAAGTAGAAGTCAAGGTAAAAGCAATCGGCATCAAATTCACCGATGTGGTGGTCTCCAGATAAATGGCCGGCTCCTACATCGGCTACGAATATAGCGGTAGGATAAGACGCGCGGGGTCCACGATATCTACGCTGTCGCGAGGAGATCGCATCTGTTGTATAGGGTCCACTGCTTTCAGAACGTTCATCCGAAGCAAAGTATAAGCCATAATCCGCATTTAGGAATCGCTTCCCTTTACAGAAGCGATTCCGACCGCGTATCTTCCGGCAATATACGGCGTCAGCCACCTCGGCCGCCTACGAAAAGGAGAATCCATACTGATCCACGCGGCGACAGGTGCGGTCGGATAGACGGCGATCGAGCTTTCTAAGCATATCGGAGCCGAAGTCTCCGTGGCGGTAAGCTCAAAAGAAAAGAGGACCTTGGTAAATGGACTATACGGAGCCCCAGATAATCGCGTTTTCTTTAGTCAAAATCTTTCTGTCGGGCGTCGAATCATGAAGGCTGGAAGTGGACGGGGCGTCGACATCATCTTAAATCGCCTCTCCGGCAGGGGCCCGGCCGAGTCATGGAGAACTCTGCCACCACCAGGACGATTTGTCGAGATAGGTAAGCGAGACGTCCATACGTTCGAGCAGCTTTCGATGCAGCCCCTTTCCAAGAATATCTCGTATCACTCCGTCGAGTTAGAAACAGTGGACCGATATAATCCCGATTACATGGCACAATTAGTCAAAGAGACAGAGGATGCGTTATTTAACGGCACTATGTCTTCCCCTCGGTCGGTGAGTGTATTCTCGAGGGTGGAATTTGAGTCCGCAATCAGTTACCTGCAAACTGAGAGACACATGGGAAAGGCAGTCATCGACTGGGAAGCGGGGGCGGAGGTTCCGCTCCTCCTCCGCTTCAAGAATACAATTTCGATCCGAAAGCAAGCTACGTCGTCGCCGGCGGCCTGGACGGCATAGGTAGGAGCATGACTTCGCGGTGTGCCAGCTGCGGCGCAAAGCGCCTCATGTTATTGTCAAGGTCAGGCTTAGCTCTGAGAGCGCGACAAAATTACTCGAAGACCTCGCCGATCATAGAGCAAATGCTTTTGTACCTGTAAGCGACATCATCAGCGTAGGGTCCATAGAAAAAGCGCTGGGCGATGCTAGCGTGAGGATGCGTCCAAGGCTCTACGTCTTGAAGGTTTGTTTCGATGTTCGATATTTCGATATGTGCTTATAGTTGTCATCATAGGATCAACTACTTAAGAAATGTCCAAAAGCAGGTGGAAAGACATGCTCGACCCCAAAACCAGCGGAACTTGGAACCTCCATAATCTTCGACCTCGGAACATGGACTTCTTCGTGATCCTCTCCTCGGTGGGGGGATGGACGGGATCGAGCGGTCAGTCTCAGTGCAACGCCGTGTCCACATTCCAAGACGCGTTCTCTAGGAATCGGTGGTCCTTGGGCGAGAGATGTGTATAGATCGACGTCGGTGTCGTCACGGAAGTGGGTTACTTCGCCAAACGCGGCAACATCGCAGAACGATGAAGCGAGAAGGGCCTCAGGACATCCACGAGCAGGAACCGCACAGCATAATAAACTGGGCATGCAATCCTGCTAGGAATATCTCGTCTCCTTGGTCAACCAAAATCATCACGGCGGCCAGTGCCGCAGTTAATGCGGAGAGTTGAGGGATGGACGCGCTACCATATCTGAGGCGCCCTCTTTTCCGTCGCCTTTTGCAGACTAACGAACATGCCGAGCAGAGAAAGTGAAATATGATCCGTAATTTCGAGACCCGGGTAGCCTGAACGATGTCGATGGCCTCATTACTAGCAAATTATCTAGGAAACTCTCAAACCCTCTCGGTCCTAGTGGAAGACATCGACACGACCTGGAAGCCAGCTCATTCGTACGGTGCTGATTCATTGGTGGCGGTGGAACTTCGCTTCTGGTTCTCAAATGAAGTGAAAGTGAATATGTTCGTATTTAACATTTTGGCAAACGACAGCATCGCGGAGTTGGGATAGTTGGTAGCAAGCAAGAGCGAGTACTTGGCTAAGCGAACGCGAGGTTGACGTGATAATAATGTCCGGGTCTATTAACGGTTTATTTCGACTTGGGGATGAATTCAACTATCTTTTGAACTTTCCCGAGATATGAAGTCTTGATTGAAGAGGTAGAAGAATCTTATCAGTGGGCCATCGCGAGTGACCTTGCGGAGACGATTCTTTTGGCGAAGCTTGAATTAATGATGGATTATGACAATTGTTGTGATGGAAATGCGTCGCGACTCTTTTCTAAGTTTTGATGCGGGGTGGATGTTACGTAATCAATCAGGTTTTAAATTGGAATACACCTGCTACTTCACACATACCTTGCCCAGTGACGGTGCATGATTGAACAACCAGCCATTCTTCAAAACCGTATTAGCTACGTATAAATGAGGGTAAGCTCGGATTTCTGACTCGCAGACTTTTGAGCATAGTTGACAGGGTCGCAACATATGTGTAGATAGCTTCTCCTTTCTTCCCAGAAAGAGCGTACGTCAACTGAAGGTGCGGTTCACACCGTGAGGGGTACATTAGAACACTTTTACACTTGGCTCAATTCTAAAAAACTTAGGTAGGCAAATACAACATCCCATCACCCTAGCCCGGGTCCATATAACACATCTATACTTGTGATGAGTTAAACCTCGACCAAACTAACTCAGCAAGCAAGCTAAACCGAAGGTAATCAACTCGGCCTCTAATAAGCTAGAAAGGAGCATAAAAAGATCCGCCCTTAACCATCCATTCATAGAAAGCCAATCATTCATGATGGGCTTCTTCGTACCAATGTGTATAGCTCAAAATTTCTTTCCATCATCACTTCCTCGTCGTCATCTTATCGGCCTTCTCGAGTAAGGGGTCCCACTTTGGAGCCGATACATCTCTTCCAGCGCACATCGCGGACAACATTCATTGCCGACAGGAGCAACTTATCGGTGTAGGGTTTCTTGATGGCAAGCGCCGTCCGGAAGCTCTCTAATTTTCCGTCCGATCATTTCGATGGCCCATTTACCTTCACGGTCACCCTCGCCTCTTTCGTGCGTATATTGAAGGTCGTATCCCAAGGTTTTTGCGATCTCCTTTCCGCTTCGAAGATCGCTCGTGGCAATATGGGACAAGGCAGGGCTGAGAAGCGTCGTAATTGCTAGAAGAGAGCCATCATGAATAGACACGCCGCATACGTACACGACTAGAACGCAGAGTAAAGCCAGAAGAGCCTGGATGCTAGGTATCAATGCGAGGATGAGAACACTATACTTCCAGGTCACGTCCAACTGTGACGCCGTACCAGGAATAAGTATATCGGTGAAATTCTTCTGGATGCCATATTGGGTCATGGTCACAATCGCAGAAGCAGTAAATAGAGGGACGTAGCCAAGGTCTATATCTTCGCTAGCTGTCCAGTGCGGGGCCCAGTAAGACCCGTTAGGGAAGCTCGAGGCCTGGAACCTGTTGGGCATGGACAGCGCATCAAGAGAACTATCAACGTCGAGGTCTCCCCAGCCAATAGCACCCGCCAGAATCCTAGCTTGGGTATCCGGCATTAAAAGATCTGTTCGGTTGATCGAATCTCCGTTGTTATCATATATATGGGATACGGTATTATTGCATACGAACAGTTTCGTCGTTTCATCTGCCGAATAAAGAGCATATACTTGAGTACATCGCAAGCCACATGAAAAGGAGGTATCCGAAATATAAGTTATATAGTCCAGGGGTGTTTGCGAGATACTGAAGATCTGCGTCCCGTTGTATCCGTCGAATGCGACCTCTGTCGTATCGGAAGAAGTGTTCATGCCAGTGATCGTTAAGTTGTCGCAATAAGCAAAGTTGTTAACCCATCGTTCAATGACATTCCACGCCGTCAAGCTGTTCGATGCCCAGTTCGGGTAGTTTGGAATAGCGTTCACGTAAGCACCCGTATCGTTGTCGAACGTCGACGTATGGAACATAAAGGGGGAGGGATCATCGAGGTAATCCCAACCGGAGTTGATCCCACCAACTCCGTAGTCGAACGCGTTAGATCGCTGCGTCGTCAGATTGCTTTCCTGATCCGACGAGGCGAGCTCGCCGGCATAGCCGATCTGCGTAAATATCGACGTTCTTCCGTCACCACGCGGCGTAGGGAATTTGCCCCTGTCCGGCGATAGGGGAATTACCGAATACGTGAGACCGATCAAAGCTGTCCCGACCTGAGCCGCCAGAGCGACGAAGAGCCAGAGAACGCAGATCAAACGTAGCCACCAGGCTCCCACTCCGCGCCAAAAGATGAGCTTGATCGCGTTGACTTTGGAGTTGTCGAATGCAAGGATGAATTCGAAGATACGGGGACTGAACTGTTTCGAAGACGCTATCGCCCATTTGAAAGCAGCCGCAAAAGCGTTCAAGCTGGCATCGATATTAAGCGACAAGCAAATAGTCAGACCTGACACGACAGCATTATAAATATGCGCAGATCCGTCTTCCATCCACGGCCTTCGATCGTACTCCTTCAAAACTACGGCAAAGGCAGCACAGATCGCCGCAGTGAGGAGCCATCGTCCTAAGAACTTCATAAGCAAACTCCTAGCTTGCCGGAGTCGGTCAAAGGACATAGCCGTTGTCGGATTCAATGGCGAAGTTTCCCCGGAGGGAATAGATCGCTTTTCGTTTAGTTGGTTCATCGTACTTGGCAACTTCGGCTACCGCAATATTAGAGCAGGTGCTTATACAGATAATTCAGCAATAGATGGAGAAAGGCACGAAGCTAGGCCAAGAGTCGACGACCTACTCGGGCTCAAGTATAGCCCCAGCCAGTTTCTTTTTCGCGAATCCATTAATATTAGTCTCCCTACCTATATGAGGCTCTACGTATTAGGCGATAGGCAGCACCTGTGACATATCGTACACTGGTAGTTTTTCTTACATGGAGGGTAGAAAAGCTGAAAGATAACAAACGATAGCCATGTGAGGAACATATGATGATTGGTAGAAGCCTGTTCGCCCATTGCCAATAAAAGAATAGTGTATGCAGCTGAATCGCTAAATATATCAATGCATGCAACCACACGCACTAATATTCTGCGGATCATTGAGGATTGCGGAAATGATGAGGCTCTGCTGACAATTCATGAGAAATATGTTGCGAATGTAACCTTCCAAAGCGAAGTCCTAGGGTACTATTGACTCAGCCGGCCGCAACAAGCAACCTTTTTTAGAAAGTACCTACCTACCTATACCACGTATACCCGCACGCACATAGCAAAGCATTCGTCATCCGTTTGATTTAAGAAGGCTTATTTATTTTGTAACATATTAGGAATCGGATTGGAAAATCTATTCGATGAGCGCAGCATAACACCGAAACTGGCATTTTCGAAGCTGCGTATTCAAAGCCATACTGGTCCTGCGATGTTTCTTCGGCACGGTTTGTATGTTTCTGTAATGTTAAACTTCCCGTGAACTACGCCTTGTATTCAATTGACCTGCGATTTAATTGACCTGCGATTCAATTGAACTGCGATTGAAGCTATAGTCTAATTGACCTGCGATTAATTTGCAGTTGAATTCAAGGTTTAATTGAACTTGTATCGAAGTGCAATTGAAGCTGTAGTTTAATTAAACTGCAGTTGAATTGCTGACTAAACTGCGAACGCACTGCCATTGAACCTACAGTGCCCAAACCACTATACTGTGGTCATCGAGGCACCTCGATGACCATTTTTTGGTGGGGGCGCACTGACCAGGTGGTCTGTGTGACCTTAGTTTTGGTACCTCGATGACCATTTTCCTCGATAACTATTTTTGGCCCCTACCTGGACCAGGGCCCGGGCCTGCTTTTTTCGGGTTGGGGTTATACAACCAGGGTTAGGGTTATTTTTTGTCAGGGTTATCCAGGGTTAAGGTTTAACCCCCGCTTATGTTATCTCAACGAACTTAAATTAAAGCTTTACTTTTAATTATATCCTTTTAATTATATTTGTTTTTAATTAATTATATCGTAAGAATTATTAAAAATTTTAAAAGTTAATTTTTAATTTAAAGCTTAATGGTGGTTTTTTTCTTTTTAATATTATATTTTTATTTTAATTATACGTTTAAATAATTTAAATAAATTTAATTAACGCGTTTTATACGTTTTAAATATTAAAAAGGTTTAAATATATTACGATTTAAGTTTACGGATTTTATTTTTAATATAAAATATAATAAATAAAATTAATATGTTTAAATCGCGGTGTATCCGAACCTTTTTAATAAAACGCGTAAATATGTTAATTAATATTTATTTATTAAATTTACGGTTTAAATAATTTTTTAAATAAGTAATTTTTTTTATATAAATATTAATTATTAACTTGGTTTTAATTACGTTAATATTAATTTTAATTTAAACTTTAATTTTATTAAAAAAATTTTAATAAATAAACCTTAATAAAGTTTTTATATAACGAGTAATTAAAATATTAAATATATAAATAATTTTAAACGTAAAATTATTAAAGTTTTATTAAATTATTTAATTTTAAATTTATACGATTATTAATTATAATATAACTATTAAAAAGTAAATAATTATATTTTAATAATTTTATAATATTAAATTTTTAATTTTTAAAAACTAGGATATTTTTAACTTAAGTTTAAACGGGATTATAAATAATTAAAAAGTTTTAAACTATTTATTATTAACCCCGAATTATATTTTTTAAAACATATTATAAATGGTTATTATATAATATATATTTAAATTTTTAAAATAATTTTATTCTATAATATTAATTAAGGTTTTTACATTATTAGGCTTTAAATTAAATTTTAAGGAACGTTATGTCTACCTTATAAATACAATGGTACGGGCTAAGTGGGCCACGCGCAACGTGGCTAGGTATGGCTTGTTCTTTAAAATCTAGTCTGAGCTAGCTAAGATAACGCTTACGTAATTAACTTTCAATTTTCAAAAGTGGTCATTTCGACGAAATAAAACGTTTAAAATAAAGTTTGAAAAAACGTTTATAAGTGGATGGATATTATAGGTATAATTATATAATTATAACCGTTTTAAAGCTCGAATTTTCTACTATCGAATAATATGGGATGCACGAGTATAACGGTAAAAATAGGGAAGTTATTAAGGAAAAGGTTTTGAAAATAAAAGAAAATAATTTTTTAAAAATTAAAATATAAAAAACAATTAAAATTTCCACGGTTTTAACTTTATAAAAAATTTAATTTAAATTAATTATTATAATTTAATTTAATAAAGATTTTATAATTATTTTTATTTATTATTTTAAAACGTTTTTAAATATAATAATATAATTATAATTATTATTAATTATTATAATTTATATTATTAAAATAATTATTTTTTATATTTTAAAACGTTTAAAATAAAATTTAAAAATTAATTTTTAAATTAATAATTTTTATATATAATTTACGTGATTTGTTAAAATTTTATGTATAATAAATTAAAATATAATATTAATATTTAAAAAAATAATTATAATAAATTTAATAAATTTTTAAAAACTTTTTTTTTAAATTATTTAACGCGGTTAATTAAATTAAAAATAAAAAATAAAATAATTATATATAATATATAATATTTAATTAAAAATAAAACGGGTTTTAAATTTTTTATTATTATTTTAAAGTTTTATATAAATATTTTTTCAAGGTTTATATATTAATTAATTAATAAATTTTATATATTAATAAATTATATATTAATAATATAAAAAAAAAATTTTAAGTTTAATTTAATTTATATTATATTAAAAGTTATATTTTAAAATATATATTAAATAATATTTAATATTATAAATTTATTTATATAATATAATTAAAAAAATAAAAAATAAAACATTAATATAATATTAAATATTAATTAAATTTAATTTAAATAAATAAATAAATATATAAATAAAATATATAAATAAAATAATAAAATAATAAAATAATAATAATATAAAATAAATAATTTATTAAAAAAATATTTATATTACGTTTTAAATATTTAATAAATAAAACATATAATTTAAAAATATTAAATGTTTATTTTTAATATAATTATAAAATTATTTAATATTTTAAATAAAATAAAATAATATAAAATATTTAAAAGAAATAATTAAAACTTTTAATTTAAATAATAATTTAAACGATATAAATTAAATAAATAATAAATAATAAACAATAAATATAATTAAATATTTATATTTATAATTAATAATAATTTAATAATTAAAAAATCGGGATATAAATTATATAAATATAATTAAATTATTAATATAAATAAAAAGTTTTTATTAAATTTAATATAATTATTTTAATATATAATATTTATATATTAATTATTTAAAATAATAAATTAAAACTTTAATAAATAAAATGTTTATTTAAAAATATAAAAAAATAAATATAAATATAATAAAAAATATAATATATTAAATTATTTATTATTTATTAATAAAAATATAAAATTTTATTAAATATTAATAATTATATATTTTTAACGGAAATAAACTTAAAAGTTAAATTAAAATTTTAAATATTTAATATTATATTTTTAATAAAACATTATATATAAATATTAAATTAATAAATATTAATACGAAATATAATTATTAAAATTTTAAATTATAATAAATATAATAATAAATATAAAATAATATTTTAATATATTAATAAAATATATTTATATTATAATATTATATTTAATAAAATATAATATAATAAAAGAAATTAAAAATAAATAATAAAACATTTAAAATAATAATAAAATTTATAAAAAAAAATTAATTTAAATTAAAAAAATTAAATATAATAAATAATAAATAATATTATAAATTTATTTATATAATATAATTAATATAAATAAAATAAAAACATTATTATAATATTAAATATTTAAAAAACTTAATTTAATTAAATAAATATATATATAATAATATAATTAAAAAAATATTTTAATAAAATATTTAAATAATAATATTAATGTAAATAATTAAATTATAATAAAAAAATAAAAAATAAAAAAAAAATTAAAAAAAAAATTAAAAAGATATTATTATTATATATTTATAAGAAATATAGTATACAGTGTACAGCCAAAGATCGAACGTTTCCCTGAACCCCCGCCATTAGTTCAAATTTTTGTATGAGCGTTTCCTCGGGGCCCACTTATT